AATATTGAAAGTGCCATGGGCTGCCAAAAGAACCAATAGATCCATTTTGGAAGAAGTGCAGCCAGAGTGCTCCTTGGAGACCAAGATGGCCAAACTTTATCTCTCATACTTCAGACATATTGTCCGGAGGGACCAGGCACTGAAGAAGGATGTCATGTTTGGTAAGGTGGAGGGTCAGAGAAAAAGAGGAAGACCCCAACGAGATGGATTGGCCAAGTGGCAGCATCGATGGACTTAAGTGTGGCAACAGTAGTGAGGTTGGCCCAGGATCAGGCAGTGTTTCGTTCTGTTGTGCATAAGGTCGCTAGTAGTCATGGGATATCAAAGAGATTATCCAATGATTTCCGCATTCTGTAGGGTTACCTCTCTTTGGAATGGGCACAAAAACAGATCTCTTCCAATCGGTAGGCCAGATAGTTGTCTTCCAAATTTCTTGACAGAGATGAGTGAGTGTCTCCTGTGCCACCTCACTTTCTTGAAATATTTCAATTTTTATACCACTAATTCCTGGTGCCTTGTTCTTTGCCAATTCCTTCAATATACCTTGGACTTCCTCCTTCAGTATCATAGGCTCTAGATCATATGCTACTTCTTGAAACAGCTGGACACTAACCATTTCCTTTTGGTACAGTGACTCTGTGTATTCCTTTCATCTTCTATTGATGCTTTCTGCATCATTCAATAGTTTTCCCAGAGAATCTTTCAATAACGAAAGTTGAGGCTTGAATTTTTTCTTCAGTTCCCCCAGCTAAAGAAATGCTGAGCATGTTCTTCCTTTTTGGTTTTCTGATTCCAGATCTTTGCACATTTTGTTGTAATATTTGACTTTACCTTCTCGAGCTGATCTTTGAAATTTTATGCTCAGCTCTTGGACCTCCTCATTTCTTCCATTTGCTCTAGCATCTCTACGCTGGAAAGCAAGTTTCAGTGTCTCTTCTGACATCCATTTTGACCTTTTCCTTCTTTCTTGTCTTCATAGTGACTTTTGCTTTCTTCATGTATGATGCTCTTGATGTCATCCCACAACTCTTCTGGTCTTCGGTCTTTAGTGTTTAATGTATCAAATCTGTTTTTCAGATGATCTCTAAATTCAGGTGGGATATATTCAAGGTCATATTTTGGCTCTCATGGGCTTGTTTTCATTTTCTTCAGCTTCAGTTTGAATTTGCAT